TTTTTTTCTCATTGGCTTTCATGAGCAAACAAAGTTAAAAAGATTGCGTAAGGCTAGACCATTGCTGACTGTTCATTCAACCATTTACCATATACTATATAGTATCTTCCTGTTTCTGGATAAGTGGTTAGTGGGCATTTAGTATGCAGTAAGAGTCCATCTGGTAAGCATCCCAATATTCTGTCAAAACAAACATTAAAGAAGAAAAAAGAAAAAGAAAATTGTGGCTTGGGGTAAGCACAAGCGCTGATAAGTAAATGAAGGCCAGAGAACACTACAAATAGAGCCCCAGTGGCCAACTGAAAATGAATCCCCTGCATGTGTACCATCTTATCCATCCGCCTTTAAACTTGCCCAGGTAATATTAAAGTTTCCCATTATGGCAAAAAAAATTGTGCGTATTCTTGTCAGCTGCGATTGTCTTCAGAAAGAATTCATAGTAAGAATTTTAAAGACCTCTAGGTGACATATACCATAAGGAAAAGGCAGATAGGCAGATGACCAGGCTACTCTGTCTGAGCAGCAACTTTAAAAACATTTTATGGGGATCATATTTATTGTTTACTTATTGATTCTCGTTTGTAGCCAACGCCATCATTTTCCATCAGATTAATACAGATGGGCAAAAAGGGATCAAAAAAGTTGAGATACTCAAACAATAATTTAAGGTACTGTATATTTGGTCTCAATGTCTAAGAGCAGGTAGAGCTCTCCTGTATAATTCTGATTAGTCAACTGATAAAGCTTCCCAAAAGTAGATTAGGACAGCAAAGTGCTATATCATATACCAAACAAAAAAAACGTCATAATTCTCTTCAAAGCAATCCAACTATTCTTTGGTTCAGTAGTGGCAATTATTACATGTAGGCAGGGGTTAATGAACAGAACAACCACATGACACCATGTGATTATCTGGGCCATGGGGCTGGACTGGTGTCATACTATGGGAGGAGAGTTGGCACCTTACTCAGAAATAGTTCGGTGCACACCCAAAACTTAATTTAAAGGGAAATATATAATTGGGCCAATGCCCTGCACTATCCTGGTATTTGGCATATACTTTAAAAATTAGGACAAAGAAAAGGAGGAGGGATCTAATGAAAGAAGCCAAGGGGTATAAAGAAAGAAAGCCCTTTTCAAAGAGTTTGGCAAACTTTTTTCCACCCTTGACTTTCATAAATCTGTGCTCAAGCTCCTTGCCAAAAGGGTCCCGTTATAACACCCAGAGCCAAAGAGGTTTACAGCCCTACAAGCTTTGCCAAGGAACTACAAGTCCCAAAATGACCCCTTTGACATGCTGAGATTTGTATTTCCACTGCAGCTACAGAGCCAAAACTTGTCTAAGATCGACCAACAGCCATTTTCCAGTTTATTGACTTACTAATAACTACTAATAACTACACAAAATACAAATAAATTAATTTTCTTCAGTGCACAAACTGTTTTTGAGCAAATATAAAACAGTAAAATTATTATTGGAATAAAATGCACTTTTACTACCAGTTACTTAAATGTACCTGTCAGAGGAGCCTGTTGTGTGGGAGGAGTTGTTTAAGCAATCAACAGGCAAGTCTATCTGCTCTCTAGGATCTATGGGTGGGATAAAAGCATGAGGAGATGCCTTCATGGCATTGGTTCCTAATGATCAGATAGGCTGCATCCTTCTAAATACTGCCCATGCCCATAAAACAACTGCATTCTTGACAGGTGCACTTTAAAGTTGCGATAAAGAGACACTTAAAAAAAAAAACACTTCACTCGCCACCAGTCAAGCCTTAAAGTGCTACCATTGCGTCCACAAATACACCGATATTATCAAACTCAGTTTTGCTTTCAAGTATTTCGAGTAGAGAAAGATAAAGAACCTCAGGTCCGAGTGCAATTCTACAAAGTGGAACATAAAATTTCAACAGAAACTGGTAAAATTAAAGTGCTAAGAACTAAAGTTTTGGAGTCTACGTCTTTTTCCTTGCTTTTTTAAAATTGCTCTGAAGCCCAAAATATTAAAAAAAAAAAATACTGAAAAGTTTTTTTTTTAAGTTTTTTTGTCCCCTGCTGAAAAAACATTTTGACAGCTCCGACATAGCAAGGAGACTATTTTTTAAACGTTTTTATAACACAATTTAGGCTTTTTATACAGCAAAAAAAAAAAAGTTTTTTTAAATAGCCATAAACATAGGACCAACATTAAAACTGCGTAGAGATGGACACATTGGGATTGTAGAATAATATTGACTGTGGATGTGCAACCGAGACTGTGCAGACAGTGTGCAAACTATCTTGATTTGGTCATGAGGCGAGGTTTGTTTAGCCCAATTAAACACCTACGTAAGAGGAGTGTTATATAATACTGTCAGCTGAACTAATTTCGGGTGAATGCAAGGCTTGGAACACAATATTCTCTCGGCCAAACAAGGCATAATTATAACTTGGTTATATAACCGCTTATGGCAACAGCACCTGAAATAATTAGCTATTAGGAGCATTCGGCTTGGATGGCCTATTGTAAACGGTGAAGGAAAATCCTGCTTAATGACACGAAGCTGGCATGCCACTTTAACAGGCTCTGCATTCAGTAATTGCATATGGACTGCAACAAAAGGACTGTTAAAATCTCTAAATTTAGTTATGTAATGCATTCCTTTTGCTTGGCTGGCTCCAGATAATAGTGAATATATGACGCCCTGACAATTTCCGGGTCTGCACACGTCAGGATGACTGACAGCAGCTCAGTGAAGCCCAACAGACAGCAGAGAAGCCCAGTTGCCTTTTGTGAAATTTGGCATTCCCAGCATCGCTGTTATACACAGCACATCTGATACAGTCTGAGCTACCAGATCTGTAAAATAGATAGCCAATCACTGAAAATTATACATCATCTGCAAGATCTGCAACTCTTATGAGCTCCATTCAAATCTGAAGGGGTACTCTGGATGTCATATCTTTAGTATTACCTGAAATTAGCTTGTATCAGTTGCAATGTATGAAATACATACACTTTGAGGTTTAAGCCCTGGTTCACATCAGTGCAACTTGTCATGCGGCTTACAGAATCGAAGTTGCATGACAAGTCGCATCCCATTACCAGCAATAGCCCCATTCTAATCTGTGCAAATCAAGTTGCAGCGACTTTCAATAAGGTCCCTGCACTATCTTTGTGTGACTTCAAAGTGGCTTGGTATGACATCCACAATAATGTTGCCCAGAATCCTCAGTTGTCACAGTCGCCACTTTGATGTAAATCGGGGCTAAGTGATCCTTTGAATTGATTACCTTAAGATGCAAACTTTGAAAACCTAAGGTCCCTCCATAAGGGGACAAGGTACCAATACACAGCAACAGAAAACTGCTAAAAAGGTTCACTGCTATAAAAAGGATTGTCTGGATTTTATTTATGGTTTTAGGAGATGCTGCAATTTTAGATACAAATACTGCTTTGTTAAATTCTACTCTAAAGAATTCAACAGGGCAGTGTTTAATTAGTTTAAAGGGTGACTCCAACTAATCTACTTTAGATTATTTCCTAAGGCTTAGATATGGCAAATGATAAGCAGTGAAGTTAATATTTAACCCAATGCTTCATTAAAGAATAACAATCATTAGTGTTTGTGCTGGGGATGTCAATACATCTTAAAACAGAGTTCCCCTTTAAGCACTTTGCTGATCAGTTCGACCAAATATATTTCTTTTAACATCGATGCTGACCACACACACACACACATATATATATATATATATATATATATATATATATTTATTAGTAATTTTGTATTTTACTGAATATTTGCTTTTCTGTTGGGTTTTGTTTGCTTGTATCTCAAATGCTAAAACCACACTGCATCAAAAAGTTTAGGGCAATTGCATTTGGTAACACTTAAAAATTGACCGAAAAAAAAGGGCCAGACATTTTTTTATAGGTTTGACTGGGATATCAAAACAATCTATCAACCGATCAGACTGAAATATGAATGAGGATCTTTAGAGTGTTGTAAAGATGTTTTTTCCTATCCACCAGGGACTCATTTCCCTCCTAGATTTTTACAGTAAAAAAAAAATTTGTTCCAGATTTAATTAACAAGGAAAAGCACAACGTGTACCCAATGCAACCAGTCAAAACTGGCATATTGTGGTCTGCAGGGTTGCTATTGGTAAATGGACTTTGTTCTTTGCCCAATTTTATAGCTCAGTCTGTTACAGTTTTAAATAGTTAAAGTTTTGCCGCACTTATTGTCGTATGTGCAATAACACACAGGCAACATAAAAGTACAACCTTTAGTACACCATAATGGGGTCAGTTGTAGGCAGCCTATGTCTATGATTTGCTCTGCTTAGAGAATATTGTGTCGCAAACGGATGTGCACTTCCCAAAGCCCAATTTGTTGGTTAAAGTTAAACTTTCAAAGGGGATAGTGTTAGGCTAAACTTTTTATAGCTGTCGCTTGGCAGGGGCAAATCTCTAAAAATATTTTCATATAAAAATATAAAGTAAATTATATGCACCTTTTTACACATTAGAGCTCAGTTACACATGAGATTTTAAAGTGCTTAGTAGCACAAAATCATCCCTGTTTTTGTTGCATTGGGCGCATTCCTAACAATTCAGATTCAGAATTCAGATTCAGAAAAAGTTGAGCTGTTGTCCATAGCAAGCATTTGGGTTTTATCTTTCTCAGGAGACCCTGGACCCAGTTGCTCTGGGTAACAGCTCGATTTTGACTCCGATTTTCAAAAATGCACCCTGGTGTTTTCCAAAAGATGGCACTATCAATAACAGTTAATTTTGTGCTGTCGGGTAGCTTAGCCATTCATCGTGGAGGTCCATTTTTCCCGTTTTTCATACTCAGCAACTTTTGTAAGCTAAATAAATGTGTCCATATCCCATCAATGTACGAGGCTAATGTTGATCCGGTTAAAAACGAGACTTGCTACAAAATGAGAGGCTCTTAATATATAGATATAGGTCTTTTTTTTTTTCTTTTTTTTTTTTTTGCATCATTGTTTTAGTTGTCCTTGGGGGGCGGCCGGAGATCTTGTAAAGGGTCTTGTAGGTCGGTCATGACAGGACCAGCCTGGAAGGGCGATGAGGGGAGGTCAGGGAGTAGGGCAGTGGAGCAGCTTGCTAACTTTTCAGGGGACAGGACGGAGGACAGACATGGGAAAGTACCAGCCGCTGGGCAGGTAAACCCGGGTAGATGAAAGGGATAGGGGCTGCAGCAGCAGCGGCTGCTGGATAGAGGTACTTCTCCAAGTTGCCCTTGTCTAAGAAAGGCATGTAGGCTGCCGCGGCAGCAGCTGCCGAGGGTGAGATGAAGTAAAATGGCAAACAGAAAGGGGCCTGCTGACTGAAAGGGCTACTTCCAAATCCCATGAGAGAGTTAAGCAGGTTGGCGTCGGGTCGCACAGCTGGTTCAGTCTCAACAGCTGTGCTGCCGGGTCCAGAGCAGTCTGGCTTAAACCTTTTGGGTGCAGGCTCATCCAGTGGCTCCTGTTTCACGGTCACACCATTGGCCCCTTGGCCCTTGGCTCCTACATTGTTCTGTCCCTCAGATTTTGACTCCAACTTTTCCCCTTCACCTCCATAACCGCTGTCAGTGTCTGTGTCATTTTCACTAAGCTCCAAGTTATGCGTCCTCTGGATAACAGGCACACAGTTTGTTTGGTTCTCCACCTTAGGCAGCCCTCGGCTGGGGGACTGAGAAGAAGCCTTGCCGGTGGGCACCTGTTGTAAGAGGAGCTGGGAGCTGGGGTAGAATTTGGCTGGACACGGTGTGAAGGTGGTTGAGAAGCTGGGTACACCTCTGATCCCGGGTAGTCCAGCTTTCAAAGCGCGACAGGTACTGCAGGACTTCTTTGGCACACGTCTGAAAACCGGAATGAAAGGCATCCAGATCTGATTGGAGGGGAGATTTCATGGAACGCTCACCTGTTTCACAGTAAACAGAGAAGGAGAACAGTCAACACAAGCCATCTTCCTGTCACCTGCTCATACAGTATTAAATCTCGGCACCAGAATTTCTTCAAGATCCAATTAAAACCAACTCCCATCTTTCCCTCTACCTATTTTTTTTTTTTCTATGAACATCTCGAGAACAGAACACTTTAGTAAACAAACAAGGCACAGGCAACCAATGACCAGTCAAATTGATTCCATTTCTCCAAAACAAAACACATTCAATGACTCACATTAACTTTCTGTGGTTTGTTGCCAACCTTGAAGCTTTATCAGGCATAAATTATTTGCCTTAAAAGGGGAAGCTGTAAATATTATAATGACTAGAGAATAAAAACTTAAGCAAGGTTTATAGAACATTTCTGGCAAATGTCAATCTCAGAGGCAGGGCAAAAAAAAACAATCCATACTGTAACTAATAATGAATAACCATGCTCCTTTACATAGGAACCCAAAGTATCCACCTAGCCCACTTTGAGATGTTTAAATTCTGCCTATTGTTCCTGATCCCATTTAGTGGATAACTGCCTCCCCTCCCCTTGATGACCGGCAACATATGAACGTTTGGGTACTTCAGAATCCTATACCGGCACAACAGAAAACAGCTACTGGACACTATTTACAAAGTCGATTATCTCACCATCCTTCCTCACATTACCATATTAATCAGGTAGGCGGCGTTACTGTCCTTTCACGTGTTAGCTGGCGTGACAGTATCCCATTTACAGAATGCAAAATACAGATATGAAACACAAGCAGGATTTGCCAAACAAAAAAAAGTTACCAGAAGATTTTAGAAAGCCATAAAAAAAAATCTACAAACTTTAGGTGAAGTTGGCTGTGGTCAAATCAATAAGGAGAAGAACAATAATCGTGGTCACTCACCGTTCTGTAAGGAGATAATTTTCTGGTGCTGCTGATCCGTCAGGGATGTCAAACCCTTCAAGTGTTTCAAAGTTAACTCCAGCACAACCGCTTTTTCCAAGTGCCCCAACGTCTGTGAGCAGAGAGGGGAGAAAAATCGACGTGATATTAGCAATTACACGACTAAAGGAGGAACATACTTTATATTTTTTTAATGCATTCATCTGGGGCAGCCAGCAACCTTCCACTTTACCCAACATGGCACAAAAAAAAAAAAAGCAGTAGCGATCGTTTCTTATCCTTAAGTGACACGCCAAAAAAAGATCAATGGATGGTAGTCAAATATTAGGGCCTATTAATTATAAATGAAAAGGAGAGCTCTTACTGTGAGCTTGAGATGTTCTGGCAGCAAATCTTTCAGCTGGGCTATACATTCATTTATCCTGTCTCTTCGTTTTTTCTCTATGAGACGGTGAGGAAGCTTGTACGTCTCCTGAAAGAGAACGAGTAGAAGAAAAAAGGGGGGGGGGGGGGGGGGCAGGGGAGTTATTTTAATGAACATATTCACAGGAAGGTTATCCCAGACTTTCCGTCTTACACATTGCACACATGTAATAACAAAAGCATTTAAGATTGATGACAAAGTTATCCTAAAGTCTTTTTTTATTCTCTAATGCACCTGGATGAGCTGCAAAACTGGCACAATGCACAGGGGCGAGCTGCAAAACTGGCACAATGCACAGGGGCGAGCTGCAAAACTGGCACAATGCACAGGGGCGAGCTGCAAAACTTGCACAGTGCATGGGGCAAGTTGCAAAACTGCCACAATTTACAGGGGCGAACTGCAAAACTGCCACAATGCACAGGGGCGAGCTGCAAAACTGCCACAATGCACAGGGGCGAGCTGCAAAACTGCCACAATGCACAGGGGCGAGCTGCAAAACTGCCACAATGCACAGGGGAGAGTTGCAAAACTGCCACAATGCACAGGAGTGAGCTGCAACTGCCACAATGCACAGGGGCGAGCTGCAAAACTTGCACAATGCACAGGGGCGAGCTGCAAAACTGCCACAATGCACAGGGGCGAGCTGCAAAACTTGCACAATGCACAGGAGCGAGCTGCAAAACTTGCACAATGCACAGGAGCGAGCTGCAAAACTTGCACAATGCACAGGAGCGAGCTGCGAGCTGCAAAACTTGCACAATGCACAGGAGCGAGCTGCAAAACTTGCACAATGCACAGGAGCGAGCTGCAAAACTGCCACAATGCACAGGGGCGAGCTGCAAAACTGCCACAATGCACAGGGGCGAGCTGCAAAACTTGCACAATGCACAGGAGCGAGCTGCAAAACTTGCACAATGCACAGGAGCGAGCTGCAAAACTTGCACAATGCACAGGGGCGAGCTGCAAAACTGCCACAATGTACAGTTGCGAGCTACAAAACTGCCACAATGCACAGGGGCGAGCTGCAATACTGGCACAATGCACAGGGGCGAGCTGCAATACTGGCACAATGCACAGGGGCGAGCTACAAAACTGGCACAATGCACAGGGGCAAGCTACAAAACTGGCACAATGCACAGGGGCGAGCTACAAAACTGGCACAATGCACAGGGGCGAGCTACAAAATTGGCACAATGCACAGGGGCGAGCTACAAAACTGGCACAATGCAGAGGGGCGAGCTACAAAACTGGCACAATGCACAGGGGCGAGCTACAAAACTGGCACAATGCACAGGGGCGAGCTACAAAGCTGGCACAATGCACAGGGGCGAGCTACAAAACTGGCACAATGCACAGTGGTGAGCTGCATTACTGGCACAATGCAGAGGGGCGAGCCACAAAACTGGCACAATGAACAGGGACGAGCCACAAAACTGGCACAATGCAGAGGCGCGAGCCGCAAAACTGGCACAATGCAGAGGGGCGAGCTGCAATAATGGCACAATGCACAGGGGTGACTTGCAATACTGGCACAATGCACAGGGGCGAGCTGCAATACTGGCACAATGCACAGGGGCGAGCTGCAATACTGGCACAATGCACAGGGGCGAGCTGCAATACTGGCACAATGCACAGGGGCGAGCTGGAAAACTTTCTCTGGAATAAATTCATGAACTCAAATGAGAGACCCTTAAACCCAAGATAAGTAATCCCCTATCCCCCCCCCCTTCCCCCGTAGATAACAGTACTTAATTTCCAGTGACAGCTTCCAAAATTGTCCCTGTAAATGTTTCTGGTTTAAAATCCAACCAAGAAAACTCCACCTTTCCCAAGCATTAGATTCAGATTTTGAACCATCTCAAAATGTTGCTATTTGCCAACAACCCTTAATTTTCAGTTACAGCTTCCAAGATTGTCCCTGGAAAATTTCAGTCCCTGGAAGTGCTGCTCAGTCTAATCTGGCCAGGAAAATCTTTCCTACACTAGTGATTAATTCTGTGCTTTTTTTTGTGATAATATTTTTAGGTGGCAAATCTAAAAGCATCTATAGCCAATTTCAATCAATGTGGGGTATATAGCGATTTGTGATCCCCCCACAGAGTATCATGCCCAACAGGCTTATCCAGTCTGGCCAATGTCCTTGGAAGTGACTGCGAAAATATTGACAGTTATGTTCTTTTACCTTGGTGCCATTAAGATTCCCAGCAAGTTTATTCCAGAGTTCCAGCCTGGGGTGACAGACGAGACCCTCAGCCTCTCGAAATAGCAAGCTTACCGAACCATCAAAAAAAAAAAAAGTGCCCCTGGAAATGACTGTCAAAATATTGACAACTGTGTTATTTGTCCTAGGTGCTATTAACATTCCCAGCAAGTTTAATTTAGAGATCCTGTCTGGGGTGACAGATGAGACCCTCAGCCCTAAAAAAAAATCTTGAGCAGCAAAAGGTGTCCCTGGAAATGGTTTACAAAGACTGCCAACTACATAGGGGTGTCAGTGTTAAGTTTATTCTAACATGTTAGCAACTATTTAACATCGGAGTCGTTAAAATTCCTAACAAGTTTAGTCGAGTCCCCGTCTGGCTCGTAAAAATTCGCCCCCACCTTTCTCAGAAAAAAGGGGTCTTACCTTGGTGTCGTCTCGCTTGATCCCTCTTTTGGGCTTGCACAGGTACAGGGGAGGATAATCCATTCTGCAATGAAGTGACAGGTTATTAGGCTGAGCGTCTGCAAGTCACTTCTCAGCAGAGCTGCAAGTCCTAGAGCCTTACCCTAAGAATTCCCTGGACAACTGCCTTTCCTGCAGGCTGTGGATGCCTTCCTCCATGGCTGAAGATCTCCAGTCCTCAGGCTGCCAGTCTTATAGGGGGGTTCTCTTTAAAGCAGGGGTACATTCAGACTTGTGCAGTTGTGAGAGACAGCGGAGCTCCCTCTCCCCTGCTCCCTCGCTCTTTCTCTGACACTGCTGCTTCTGCTTTGCAGACAGAAGATGGCTGCAAAAAAAGTCATAGGAGTGACTCGGTGGGGCCCCCTACTGGATGCAACTGGAAGCACAGGTGTATTTTCCTGGGGGAATACAAGTCATCTTTATCTGTCTGTGGCTTGTACACGTCACGCCGGCTTGTAATAACCCTCACATGCTGCTTGGGAGTGGAGAATTTTTTTTTTTTTTTGCAAATAACCCTGCTGATGCTGTTCATGTATGACACATAACGTATACTCCATTACTGGGAATATTGCCATTACTAGCAGCTAAATGCTATTTTTATTAAAATTGGCAATTTAATATCAGTTTATAAATACCCACAGCAAATTGGATTGAAACGTGGCAAATTTAGAGTTTTTTTCAGATTCTCCCAAATATCCTGCATGGATGGTAAAATCAGCAGAAAAACAGACATTCAAGGCGCGGACACTTAAATTGAGTGATTTTTTACATCACAGAAACTATATTCACATATTAAAAAAATGTGAAGAATCAATGATTTTCCAGGATTTTAGCACCCTGCCACATGTTACAATCTTGCCGTACAAACTCCTTTAGATCTACCAGCATTCATGCAGCACAAGGGTGCTAATTGATAAGTTAACTAGCTCCTTGTATTATAAACCTAATGGTGGCCATACATGTGTTGATAAATTATTGATTTATTTTCCAATCAATTTCTTCCAATAGTAATAATCAATCTATAGTCGACAGCCCAGTTGATTGATATGCAACACACTGGGAAGTGGATTTCGATCAACAGTTGAGATGCGATAAATGATCGATTTCTTTTCTGATCAATTTCTTCTAATAGGAATAATCACTGTACAGTCAACAACCCATTCAATCAATATGCCACACACTGGGAAGTGGATTTCGATCAACAGTTGAGATGCGATAAATGATCAATTTCTTTTCTGAGCAATTTCTTCTAATAGGAATAATCAATGTACAGTCAACAACCCATTCAATCAATATGCCACACACTGGGAAGTAGATTTTGATCAACAGTTGAGATGCAATAAATGATCGATTTCTTTTCTGATCAAGTTCTTCTAATAGGAATAATCAATGTACAGTCAACAACCCATTCAATCAATATGCCCCACAGAGGGAAGTGGATCTTGATTGATAGTTAAGATACGATAGAAACAAACAATCGTAAGTTATCAATCATATCTCAGTTCCAAATATGTAACCTCATGATCTGCTTTGATCAAAATACGACTGTATCCATGAAATAAATGCTGCCAATCGATGCAAATTGATCAATGTTTCTGCTCTGGTTGATCTAAATGGAGTCTAAATCGATCAGAAATCAAGTTATGGCTGTGTGCATTGTTTTGCAGATTTGATCACTCTGATAGAATCAGATAATAAAATCAAAGCATGTGTGGCCACAATACAGGAGATTGTACAGAAACTGTACAGACAAACCGTAGAGTGAATGGTGAGCTTAAGAGGCTGCGAATGCTTGGTGACTGTCAATAGTTTAGCGCTAGTTTCCTATCACGTCCAGGCACTTCAATTGGCAATTCTTCGGTGGGAAAGAAATCTGCCTGATATACCTTTTCGCTTTACATTTTTACAAGAACAGCAAAGTTTGACTGAATTTGGTCGTGTGAGCTTAAATATCCACTAAAAGCAAACCAACATATTAAATTGAGCATAAAAACATACAAAAAATGTGCTAATGGCAGTTTTTAATATTTCCCTAATGCTTAAGACTGGATTCACACTTGTTGCAATGTTCATTAACAGACGTAACATGCGTTGTGGTTCCATTTATTTTGAATGATAGGTTAGGGTAGCTGATTATTAATGAATGGGCTGCCAGCACACCCTAATGTGCCTAAAAACACTCATGAACTTTTTCCTAATGCAATGCACTGCAACGCATGCTACAGTCCAGCTGGCTTGTCTTGGTGCATTGGGGTGTCATTCGTTTATCAGATGTCTTAACACAACATGCATTTAGTGTGAACCATGGCTTAGAGACAATGCACTAGGCTGGTGCACCCTCTCTTCTTTTGTGTTTGGGACATCCCCATTCTGGAGAGGGCAGCAAGGTGTTGTGCGTTCTTTTCTTCAGTTGTGAAAGGGATGTGCATTAAGTATTGGCATTAGACCCCCACACTCATGTGAAGGAGGTTTTGTGTTTCAGTGTTGTAATATAGCTGGTTCTAGAAGCAAAGCAGCAAACTTTTTTTTTACTGCTGAGTCTGTATACATTGTTTCAGTTTTTAAGCCTTGGTGAAGGGGGTGTATCTACATCCCCTGCAATGTGTTGGCTTTGTAAACAATCTGTCTTCCGAATAACTTATATATGAACCTAAATATCCCAGTATGCTGCTTTATTTCTAAAGAAAGAAAGGAGAGGGGCGCCAGACTAAGTGCAGCATTAGATGTACAGTTTATTGGCACAGTGACAATTGGCAACTTACAAGAATTTTAAAAAAGAGATAGGCATGTCACCAAAGATGTGGTCCAAACTCCCGGGAACTGAAGGAGGACAGGAGGTGTCCAGGCATCAGGGTTATGGCTGGAGAGAGGATCCTGGAGAGGTCTGAGGAAGAAGTTCTGCTTCAAAACGCGTTACCACCCATCCTAGATTGTAAGCTCCAAGGAGCAGGGCCCTCCTATCCCTCTTGTATTGAACTGTATTGTTGCTGTATTGTCTCCCGTTATATTGTAAAGCGCTGAGCAAACTGTTGGCCCTATATAAATACTGTATAATAATAATAATCCATGTCCAGGGGCGGACTGACAACTCATGGGGCCCCCGGCAATAGGGTATCATGGGGCCCCTGTGTCCTTGCCCAAACTCAAAAAAACCTATGAAAAAGGTACCAGGGGCATCTCATGGGGCCCCCTACTGACCCCATGAGATGCCCCAAATGGTCAGTCCACCCTGTCCACGTCATCACGTTCCAACGCTGACGTCACTACCGCCCCAGCGCCATTTGCGTTCCATGCTGGTTTCCTGCGGCGGCTGGCTGCTGTAGGATCCTCTCTCCAGCCAAAACCCTGATGCCTGGACATCTCCTGTCCTCCAGTTCCCGGGAGTTTGGACCACATCTTTGGTGACATGCCTATCTCTTTTTTAATTCTTGTAAGTTGCCAATTGTCACTGTGCCAATAAACTGTACATCTAATGCTGCACTTAGTCTGGCACCCCTCTCCTTTCTTTCTTTTGCATACAGAGTCCAGCTTTGCTCTGACGGTTCTGCCACTGAAGCTGCCGTTTTGCTATTGTGCCACTGTGAACTCTCATAGTTCCCCCCCCTCCCTGTCTTGGACTTTATTAATGGACATTTTGGACTTTCTTTTAGCTCTCTATATATACCCCTCCAGCGCCAAATCTGTAGTAATTGCTTTATTTCTAAATTAATGAATTCCTGTCTCCATCCAAGATGACCATGGAAATCCTTTGTTAAGCAGAAGCTGCCAGTCCAGTATCCAGATTCTCCACACTCAGACTTTCTATACCCACACTACTGCCATACTATTAGATGACGGCTATATTATAAAATAAAGGCAAAAAAAAACTTCAGAATTTCAGCACTATTATTCAACTTTTTCAAACAACATACACCCGACAGAGGTTTTTAAGCCTTTCCTACTCTATGCAAAAATAATCCTGCAGAAAATGCAGGCAGCATGAATTTTTGAAGTTCCTGTGCGTGATGCGGGATCTTTTATGATCCTAGCTGCTTTATAAGGAGCTGCAGCAGTTCATCTAGTTCTTTTTTTTCATGATTCGATATTGAAGCATTGTTGAAAATTGTAGGCTTTTTTTTAGATATTGAGATGTATGGGACTTTTTTTTTCTGTTCGCTCTCGTTTTGTTCTGAAATCCAAAGGAATCTAAACAAAAAGCAAAACTGGACTTGAGATTTACAATGGCTCTTAAGTAGGTCACAAAGGGTTAAATATGTACATGACATGCTAGATGGAGTCCCTGGCTAACCAGCGGTCTGTCAGGTGACTCTGTTTTTTTTCACAATCTTCAGATGTCACATGAGATCAGGAGATGCTGGACACTGTACGTTAAAGGAGAACTCCGGTCAAATAGCAAATGACACGACTGAGTCACAAATATAAGGTTTGTTTTATATACCCCAATGTTTGTAGAGTAATATTTATATATATATATATATATATATATATATATATACAGTATATAGGCATGGAGTCTTCCTAACCTCCGCTGTGCTATATCTAAAAGAAGGGGGTGACAACACTTTACACAACTTGCAGTTCAGCAGACTTTGTGCCACTGCTCCGCCTCCTGCCTGCTACCAGTAAACATTGTGGAACTGGTGAAGGGACCCACCCTAAGCTGTTTGCCACCTAAAAGCTCATCTAAGTGTCTCACCCACCTTCATCCAGGTGCTGGTCTACCAACTATGACTTCAATGTGGTTTTGCTTCAAAGTATCCTTCAAAGTACTAACAAACAAAACTGACTTTTCTGACCTCCTTCTAAAAATGCTACTTGCCTGGCTTTCATGCTGGGTCTTACTTTCCAATCCTGTGCATAAGTACGCAGATTAGGTGTGTTCCTGGCTTTGCTTTCTGCATCCATTGACAGCCAGGCAGCTAGCATTTTCTGAAGGAGGAGGACAAGTCTGATGATCATCACCTGCCTCCAGCTGTTATATCCCCATTTGCCATGAATTTTATCCTGCTAAAATGCAAGCGGCTGTGTTCCCTGATTCCAGGCATTGCGCACTGTAAAGGCAGATGTACAGAGAATCATGTAAGAAGAGGCTGCCAGAAGCACTATGAAAATCCTGCTGAATAAGGGTGCTTGTGTTATACAAGAATCAGATTTCATGC